TCATAAAAAAGTCATGTTTAGTTGTTGCGGACTAGAATTTACGCATGCAATAGCGAAGGAACGCTTGTTATATCTGTCCAAAGTTATTTAGACCGGTTCGTTTCTTTGATATATCAGTACAATCAATGTATGTATGAGACATTGTTCCTATTATTGTATACATACGTACTAACACTTACTAGTTAATAAATTCCTTAATTGCTTTTACGTCTTAAGGCAATCAAACCACCTTCTCATTGAAATACGGACGTTGCACGGAGTTATTTTAAACTTTAAAGGAAACTTCATTACTTATATATTGGCTTAGTGGATTTAAATATTACGGACCATAATTATTTCTTAATAATTAAATTAAAATGTTAGACACCTACTATCCTAGAAAAGTTAATAGTTTCTGTGAGATAGCGTTTGAAAGTTGTAATCCCTTATATAAGGCGAAATAAAGCCCCACACTTCACACTTTTTTGTCAGTAAACTTAAGTAGATATTGACTAACATAAAACAAAAAATGTTCATTACCTTATGAGTAAAGTATTTAAAAACGTAATGTGTAGATTATGATAAGTTTGAAAAATTACCAATCATGATGTTTTAATCTTTATAGCTTTGTATGATATCACATAATACAGTCTAATTAATTCGCACGTTCTCGAGTCACACAATTGGTCTGCTAAATTGGGTTTTTGGTGTCAGTATACGACTAGATTACTCAGACATTAAGTGGGATATCCGCTCTACAAATGTGTATGATATAATGGTTAATTTTTTCTATTAGAAGAGCTAAAATACAAATGGTATTTGGTATACTTATAAATATCGTTAAAGTCCACTTTTTTATTTTTCTGATAGATTGATTTTAATATGATATTTATAGTATATCAATAATTGCAGTTAATTATTCTAAAATATAGTTTGATTTCCCCGTCGACCGCGTTCCACTAAGAGTCTAAGGGCTATAAAGTAGTAATTGAACGAAATAGAATTAAATAGTCATATTCGGGCAGAACCAGTGAGAGTAATTTAATAACGTGTAAACTTCGATCAACAGTAGTATTGTTGATCGAAGCGTGTAAAGGACTCATTCAATATTACGTACTTGTTTTTGCCCGCGGCTATGCTCGCGTGGTAAGTGGGGCGGGGATCAATGGTAGCCTATGTCCATCCCCAGGATATAATTTAAGTCCTTGCTAAATTTTACCGAAGTATTTTCAACTGTTTAAGGGTGTAAGGTAACATACAGAGTTACTTTCACATTTATATCGATAATATGCTATTCTAAATAAAACTTAAATTTATAGTAAAATGCCACGTGTACCAGCTTTTAGGAGAATATGTAAATGACCAAAGTAATATCAGCAGAATAGTATTAAATGATCTGTGCCAGCATTTATATATATATGACTATCTAGTTGTAACAGATTAATGTGCGATGGGAACCAATAGGTGTAGGTATCAGGATAAAAGTGACTTATAATAATGGTTCATAAAATACATATATTTATAAGAGTAATTACTTCGACAAATTGACGCACACTTTCTCATTTTTTAAATTATTGATAGCTAACGGTGCATTTCTCTCTATTCTACTCACAGACAATATGTGATTCTACTGCAAATTCTCTTCAGATTGAAATTCGAATAAGAAAATATTGTTTAGCAAACATAACTTCTTAGATACATTATATGTTACAATTTGTGTTACCGTAGTGGATTATTATTCTAAAATCTGTATTCTCGCTGCCATAGCATGCCTCGACGTTTAGAGCGCCGAATAGTCATTATTAAGCTTTAATGGTCCGAGGCTTCAGCTATCGAGATCCCTATCTCGGTTCGTCGTTAAAAACAAAGAAATTAATTTGGGCGGCTTCGAGTCCAGGTTATTTATTACGGTCGACTACTTCGGTCTTCATTATGTATGAATTTTAAAGGTGAGGATATATTGTGAGCTTGTATAATGGGATTAGACATTTATACGATTGCTGTGATTTAATACCGTAATAAACGATTATATAATTGATAAACAATATAGTTATAGAGTTTTTATTAACACGAACCATTTAATAAGATTAAATAAGTATTTATAATGTTACTAAAGTATTATAACTAATATTTTAGTCAGTTAAACTATTTTGTAACAATTTCAGATATAACTTGGTATAAGAATAAAATGAAATAATACACTTAATATTAGGGTATCGCGGCGTTCGAGCCTTATTTATAGTATTGAATTATAGGCATTGTGTAATAAAAAGAGCCTTAACGCTCAAGGATAATCTACTTAGTTCTTAAGTGAAAATCGTTAGATTCAAAGTGTAATTTTGAAGATAGATCACCTTTTAGATTTTTAAAAAATATTTAAAATCACAAAATTTATTTTTGTGTAATATTAGTAGATTAAGCCTCTTCAAGACTAAAGTAAGCAAAATATTTTCGTGATTTTCGAATTTTGTAGATAGAGCAGATATCTGCTTACCATTCTTAAAAAATGAAATTATAAAAAGTTAAATGTCCATTAAGTATTTGTTGAAATTCTTTTAGATTATGCTTTTTTACTGATATAAAATAATTAAAATAAGAAAGGAAAATATTTATCTGTGATGCTAATTCGTTTTAAGCATCCATCTATTAAAATTTAGTGTCATATTAAATTATTGTATTACTTGTCGTCTTGACTTTCTACGTGACATTGGCAAAGCAATCTGTGCCATATTTTGATTTTATTAGTACGAGTATACAAATAAAGAAATGAATAAAACAAAATTAATACAACACTTTAAAGTTCAAACTCTTTTCAAAGACACGATTTAGAAATTGAAAATTGTATTCATTCGTTTATTTTCATAAAGTAATGAAGTTATAGCAGGATATAATAAATATTTACATTACAGTGCCTTAGAGTTTATACTTTTATTTCCGTTTCCTTCGATTGATATTATCATTATATTTTCAATGGCAGTTTTGAGATCGATCAATTGTTTCAATATAATAAGAACAAAGCCCTGAATTTCAATAGCGAACGAAAATGTGTAAGTACCTAAATGAAACATTAATACTACTTAGTAGGTAATTGACGATTTTGATATTCTATAAATAATTCAGTTTTGCTATACCTATAGGTATTGAATGAATTTGTATTGGAAATATCATTAGGATAAAATGATTTACTTTATTGTAGCAAAATATTTGTGGCATATTTCATTACGCATAATAAATCTTGTGTAGATTCTAATACATATTTATATTATACGGATCTAATAATTAACATAAAAATATATAGTATAGTTTATTTAAAATGATACGTAACATAGATTATATATAATAACATATTTGTGTAATAATTTTTTTTTGTGTAGGTATATAGGCAGGTAATATATAAATTATAGACTAAATTTTATAAAAAACACACCTAGGTAGCTTTACTCTTAATTATATTGACACTAAAATGTTTTAAAATGCTTTAAAAATGACGTTTTATTGCGTCTTGTATATTCTTTTCGCCTTTATTTTGACTTAATTTGATTATCGGTTTGATTTATTATATCATTTAAAATTAAATTATATTTGTGTTTGTGGTACATATTATTGACTTTAAAATATTTATGAATGGAAGTCCTATTACTGTGGCATTTGGCTAAGCAGGGTGGTGTCAGGCGGTCTCCAGGTGCACAAACAGCTGAGACGAGGAGCGTGCCAGCCGCATGCGCACACACCATATGTCACTTTTTATGCCATAATTTGCTACTTCATTATTATTATAATGAGCGCCACCTGATATTTTTAGTCCTGAGTAGTACCTACTTTACTTGAATGGCATCATTTTATTTATACTTCAGTCGTAAGGAATTTTATTGTAAAGTTTTCTTATTATAGTTTTGCTACTATATACATAATATATTCTTCGAAAGAGAACTCAACTAAATACATTGTAGCTATGAGTTTCTGGTATCTATATCCTTGTAGAAATATAAGTAGGTATAACACATTTTTTTATTACTAAATGTTATATTAACAACACAGAGGTCAAATGATCCTCCTACTTAATTTTGAAGAGTACTGGTGTGTATAATTAAATATTTTCCCCAGCAAAGCCTTAAAAATGTGCTAGAAGTTTATGTGAAATAGTTTCATTCATAAAATCGGCAGTCATAGGTATCAATTACAAAAGGTGAGTTGGTAAGTAGAAAGTAAGCGAACCATTGAAACAAAAGATACCTATTGTAACTAAGTAACTAACTCAATGAATCATAGCAAACAGAATACTTATATAGGAATAAATAGTTACTAAGAATTAAAGAACATTTGTAATAAAAAAAAACATACAAAAAAGAATTACGGTTAAAAGTGGTTAAGAAAATAATGAATGAAGTTACTTTTAATGCATCTTTTTGCTACACATCCTGTATCGTTCGTGCTTTACCTGCGTCCATCTACAAAATATCATTGTAAAACCCTATACCTGAGACAGTTCAAATGCGATTTTAACAAAAAAAACTGTATGGTGTAACAATCGAGACGGTGCGTAGAGACGGCGAGTGAACGGGGCATTGTTATATCAGCTTGTATTGAAAATATCGCTAGCAGTGCCACACGGGCTCAGGTATTTATGAATGGAAGTGATGGGCTGGCAAGCGGAATCGCCGGTCGCGGTCACAGGCAGGTAGAAAATTACACTTTTGGAATTCTTTCATCACGTTGAGTAGGGCTACTCAGTTCGGTAGCCGAGGATAAGCCGCAGAGCGGGGCGCGGGGTTCTCTAGACGCGCATGCGTTGAGCTCTTTTCACTCAGACGATCCCTCCCTCTCAGTTGACTTACAGCCGTCGCGAGTGAGCACTGTGCCGTCATGTGTCGCTCACTAACTTTCTCGAGTAGTGATGTGATACGGTATCATTATATGGAAATTGTTTAATGTTTTGACACTTGTGGTAACAGTGATTATAAAAAAGTAACTTTAGAAGAAATGTAATGGTGATATTATAATTAAAACTACATAATATCAAAATGAAGTTTCTCGCGGTGGTAGTGATTGTGATGGTGGTGAAAACAATTTTAGCTTCTATAGCTCCTCCTGGATCGTGTCCTCCAGCGTGTATGTGTAAATGGAAAGGTGGAAAACAAACTGTGGAGTGTGTGGATCGCGCTCTTATTACCGTTCCTGAGCCAGTTGACCCTGCTACACAAGTGCTTGATTTATCAGGAAACAATTTACAAATTCTCCCTCAGGAGGCATTTGCGAAAACTGGACTCGTTAATCTTCAACGTGTATACCTTCGTAGTTGTAATATAGGCCAAATAAATGATAGGGCATTTAAAGGCCTCACTAATTTAGTAGAATTAGATCTCTCTCATAATTTACTTACACAAATACCTTCAAATAGTTTTAAAGATGCGCCATTTCTGAGAGATCTTACACTCGCAAATAATCCTATTTTGAAAATTCATTCGGATGCGCTTAATAATCTTGGCAGCATTGTTAAGCTTGATTTGGCAGGATGTGACATAAGAGACATAGCAGCTGATGTATTCAGAAATTTACAATCATTAGAGTCATTAAAATTAAACGCAAATAATATTAGAGAGCTGCCTTTAAGTTCATTGGAAAAATTAGAGAAATTGCGAGTTATTGATTTGTCCGATAATCCTTGGACGTGTGATTGTCGACTTCGCGACCTTAAGATGTGGTTATCAAAACATAAATTATTTTCTTCCCCTACGTGCGCCTCCCCGACTCGTTTAGCAAATAAACTATTCTCTGAGCTAACACTGGACGAATTCGCTTGTAAGCCAGAAATTTTACCAGTAAGCAGGCATGTCGAAGCAGCTGTAGGTGAAAATTCAACAGTAGTATGTAGAACGGAGGCCATGCCAAGTGCAAATATTAACTGGTATTGGAATGGGAGATTGTTACAAAACGGGACCAATTTAAACTCTCACCAAAGAATTTATATTTTTGAAGCGGGCGAGTACAAGAAAAAATCGACGCTTATTCTTACAAATACACAAGAATCAGATTCAACAGAATTTTATTGTGTTGCCGAAAACAAAGGAGGCAATGCGGAAGCTAACTTTACAGTTCATGTCACTCAAATTGCAGCTGGAATGGCGTCTCTAGGAAGCGCTCAAATAGCAAGTCTTGGAGCAGCTTTATTCTTAGTGATTATTTTAATCTCCTTAGGATTGCTTATAACGTTTGTTCGAATACGTCCTTCTCATAATTGCGAAAGTAAAACGCCAAATACATTAGACAGAGTAGTATCTGGTAATGAAGTTCATCCTACTGTAACGGACAGACCACATGTGGCTGTTTTAGCAAGCAGGCAAGAATCACCAAATTATGATGATGCTAAATGTAATCCTGTTCTAAAACCGCAAAGAACGAACGATATACCCTATACAACAAATCATTATGAAGGTCGAGGTAGCTTAGTCACAAGTGGAGGGCCAATTGTGGTTTCACCAACTGTATCAGGAGGAATAGACCCCGATCTTATTAACGATACAAGACCTGATAGTGTTAACCGTCCAGGAAGCGGAGAGTATGCGAGAGAAGCTTCTGATTCTTTGTATCCCTCAGGTCTCTGGGATCAAATTAAAATGAACCAGGCTAATAATTTGGCACGCGCCATAAGCTCAGCAATTCCAGCTTATTATAACGATCGAACTCCAATAATTGAAAATACCAGTGTTAATGGATCGCAAGAAGAATTAGGTTACATGAGCCGCACTTTCCCTCGATCGCACGCAATGACTGTGGCTAGCACTGCGGACCCTCCATATCCGGCCGATTACGGATTGCCAGTGGGCGGAGCACGAACGCTACGTGTGTGGCAACGTGCTCCGCCAGTATTACCGCCAGTGTCTGCTCTCAAACGCGTCCTCACCATTACGAGGCCCTCTGAAGACCGATATCAGGATGGCTGTGCTACTGATGTTTAAAGTGATGAACGCTACTATTTCCAAATGTTTATATTGTAAATATGTTACCTATACACCGTATATGTACGTAACAGATCGTGTAATAGATTTTATATTATATAATTTATTTAGATGTAATTAGTGGAAAGTTACATTGGATCCACATGTTAAGGATCCACGACTGATTAGTTGAAGGAAGTACAGTAAGTTATTACGTGATATGGAACGGTATTATATAAGATCGCCAAATGATTAATATTATACTGAATGTAATATATCCTGAATGTTAAAACCCTGAATAGATGTTGCATAATTAATAACGTCGTCATAAGAATTTGAAAGAAAAATATCCAAAGAAATTTTCTCTTTAAAGTAATATGGTAATATATGTTACTATGAATTATTGTAATGCACGGTGAATGTTATTTGATGTAAGATAATGTATGTGAATATTTTATGTTGAAACAACTTAGAAGTAAAAATGGAAAGAAAATAAACAAGGCGATTATAAAAACCTATGTGTATATATTGATCTTGCCCCGAATATCCATTGTTGTATAGAAAGATAATAGATTTACAATGATCAACTTGTTTTAGTGAAAATTCTAACGGCTTTTTATGTCACTTAAAAAAACCATTAAAAAGTTGGGCTTATACGATTAATGGACCGAAATTTCTTTTATTTAAATCTATTTTTAATGATAGGTTATATCTTGTATTGTAATAGCAAACCTATAAAGGAAATGAATAAACAAGAACTGACTGTAATCTTAAATTAAAAACCTACAAATAATAATTATAACACAAGAAATTGTTATAGTGTAAAAAGCCTTTCATACGAGATGCAGGTACCTCTAAATTTTCGATACCATTATAGTCTGTATGTCTTTCATAATAAGAAACATTGGTTAAGTCCATACTTTATGCTCATATCTAGGAAGACATTGACACAGGAAGCAACGGTAGATAAGACGTCCGTTCCGAATACACATAAGAAAAGCGTTGTCAACATTTTTTAACATTCCCGCCGTCAAATGGATTTATCTTTTCCGGAATGGGCGAGTTGTGTAATGATGATAAGAATAATTAGAAACTTTCTTTTAGTTAATTTTTACATTTAAAAGCGGAAAATGTTTAATAATATAATATTCATTTTTAACCTACTTCCTAAAAGGAGGAGGTTCTCAATTCATCGGAATCTTTTTTTTTATGTAGGTATGTTCACCAGTTACTCGAAGAAGCCTTAACCGATTTAGAATTTTTTTTTGTTTCAAAGGGTATACTTCCCAGGTCCCGTACAAATTTTATCGAAATCGGTCGAGCGGTTTTAAAAAAAATCAACAATAAATGTATTTTTTAAATAAATTGTTTATTTGAATTGATAATAAAAAACTTTCTGTGTACAAAGCCTACAATATTTTAAGATATCTAATAGGTAAATATGTATTTTACGTATCGAAATACATATATTAGATTTGCTTTGCATCGGCTGGCACCGACTTCGAAAATATCTGATTAGGTATCTATTCTAAAAGAAAATCTCCATTTAATTATTTTTTAGATTTTAGTGCCTGGGAGTCGTTTTTTTTAAAAAAAGCTTTTACCATCTTCTAACTCGTATGGGTTCCCTAAATAGATTTTAAAACTAAATAACATAATTTAATTGTAAAGTATTCGTAAAAAACTTACTGTTCATTTAATCTAAATTGTATTTCAGTAATAAAAAAGGTTGTAATAATATCAACATTTATACTATTTACAAATATTATCGTTCACAATGAACAAAAAACACATATTGTGGTTCCGGTACAAGTATATTATAATATATTTTGCAATTTAATTTCAGTTTGAAAAATAATGGACAAATATTTTTCATTGTTTATTGTTCATGCCTGGTTTTAGTTAGGACAAAAAAATAAAGCCGAGCTCACCTTCCTTGGTAGCGAGGTAAAACCGGTTAGCCTTATTTCATTTCCGCTCAATTCTGTTTTTTATTACAAGCGGACCCTAAACGGGTTCAATGGAATCGTGCTCCAGGCGTGAAGTGGTCAAATACTGGAAGACGAAATTTGACTTAAGGGCGCTTAATACTTATTTTTATATCTCAAAAGAAATCTCAATAAATAGTTTATTTTATCTATTGATCGTTTATTATATATACCAGCAACTGACTGTAAAAGAGACTATGGAATTAATTACATTTGTTTGATTCTAACCTAAATAATAGATACCTACTTTTCTACTTAGCTTTCACCATATATTAAAGTTTATTCCTTTTTGTCAAAATTTTATATTTTTATAACAAACTAGCATTGCCCGCGGCTTCGCCCGCGTTCAGATAACAAAAAACCAAATTCTTAGGTTTTACATATTAGTATACTCTTACAATGCAGTTTTTGTATTTTTTCTGAGAAATGAGATATTTTCCCGCGGTAAAAAGTATCCTATATGTTGACCCAGATAACTAACTACCACCATACCAAATTTCATCAAAATCCCTTCAGTGGGGTTTCCGTGATGGGGTAACAGACAGACAGACAAAAATTCTAAAAACTATCAATTCGGTCTCTCTATCGATAATAATGTTTGTTTCAATAAGATTTTCCAAAAAATATTTAATGTACAGATACGGCTTAGTTACAATTATATTATACCTATGTATAGACTTAGTCTACAATAAGATCCAATAATAAAATGTTTTCTTTGATTATGCTCGGGTTCTTTCGTTATGAAGACACTTTCTCGAGATAATGGGTAAGTATTGTATTTACTGTTTTTAATTAACTTTTGTTATTTTATTTATAATTTATTATTTTTAAATATATTTTGAACGTACATATTAGGTACTTATTATGATTTCTGTAAAAAGGAAGAATTTATTTAAATATATATTTCGTTAAAAATCTGTTGACGAATTAAACGTGTATATAAAAGCGTATTATAAGAGATTTTAACATTTTCAATTATTTTTTGCAACGATGAACACTTTCACAAGCAGTTACAATGGGATAATAGGTATTACTGTATTTAAAATTTTCGTTCTGAGAATAAATATCATGACAACTGTAAGACAATATTAATTGTTGTGCCCAAGTTATTAAATATATGGTTATGGTAAATATATTATGTTAGTATTGTCAAAATAAAGCATCTCGGAATAGAATCTGCGACTGCCAAACAAAAAAGTGTCTTATTTTTTATTTGTAAGATTTTTTTTCTATGATTATATCTTTCGTTTTGTCTGTTGAACTAAAAGGACAGTAAGTCTCTTAAAGCATTCTCTAATTGAACAAAGCTCGGCTATTATTTACATCGATCCTTACAACTTGGCACTATCAGTTTTTGCTATAAATTGAATTCGTCCAATGCTCCGTTCTCGCCTTGGTTCAGTGCCAGTCAACCACTTAATACCAAGTTTTATGTTGGTCTTTCTACATTTCTCACATGTTACATACATAATTAGTACTTCACCTTTAAGTTTAAATGTAATTACTTAATTCGGATACTTCAAATATACTTTTTGTATTTAAAAATAAAAAAGTTGAAATTTAAACACATAAAAGGTAAAAGAAGGCTGACGCGATTTGTGGTAAGAGTCGATTACGTGGATGTGTGCCTACTATATTTTTTGCTTTTAATTTCATTTCATCAATAAAATGTTTCTTTTGATGTATAAATATATCAACACCATTGGGAGCTTTCGTCTATTTAGTGGATTTTCTGTGTTACAAATAAGCCTATAAAATGCTATAGATCCGATATGCTCGAGCGGAGTTTCAAATTATAATATTTCTAAAGATTACTACCCACAATGACATATGAAATCTCTACTTCTTTACAATATCTATTAAACTTATAGAGGGCAAAAAGTACGTTTTAATCTACGTAGGTGCTTACTTATTATTATTATTTATTCATATAAATACAATAGATTGAAATATTATTAAAGTTTACCAACGTGAACAATGGTTTATATTATATGATTAATTAAAGTAGGAAAGACTGAGTAAAATGCAAAATAATAATGACTCTACATTTAGTCTATTAAGAATTAAAATCTTTTTTTTAATCTGAAATTTTCTTTTAACGTCATTCCTTTCCTTTAATTTCTTCAATGCTATGAAGTTACCATAATGAAGGTAAATTCAGAGGCAGTCGTGAGTAGCAACATAGAGCATACCTATTGTTGTAAACTTCGAGCCCAGTTGTTACTTTTCTCTCAATAGGTTGTTCGAGATGGCAGTCGCTGTAAGAGTTGGATGCCCGCCAAATTTTATTTTACAGAGGGGTTGGAGGTTGATGAAGGCTTTAGTCACTTCTGAAAATAGCTTCCCGTCAATTATGCAAGATATGAGTAAAACAATTAAGTACGAAAAAACTTTAATGAAATAACCGACTGTGAGAATCATCAAGTAGAGAGGCAAGTAATTAATAAAATTAAACTCAGTAATAATTACCACGCTTTCCCCTTGGTTAGCTTTGAGACTTAGCTTTAATTTTCTACAAATTTCTAATTGTTTATTCAAATGTAGGCTAGTGAAATTCGTCTTTACAATTATAAATCAGACGAATATTGCGCTTTAAAGTGATCTAACATTTCCTGTAGTTGTCCGGTCTAGTACGTATTAATGGATTTTTCAAAACGTATATATATATAAATATAAATAACGATTTTAGCATTTTTTAAAATCTTTCCTCTAATATTTACATAACATATTTTAAATTGATCAATTAAATAGGATATTTTTGGTGGTAATTACTGAGTCTATAATAATATTGTTGCCAATAAACAAATATTTTCCCACAATTGGAAGCGCTTTATTTGAAGTGGCGTGGAACATAACATAGCACGATTTAATTGTATAGGTTTTGCATAGTTGGCACGAAAGTTGAGATGCATCTGCCAAGGTGTTAAAGTAATGGTAAATGTGGTCAAAATATAGTTCTCCATTTTGGCCACCTATACAGATTCATGTAGGTATGAAAAGTTTGACTTAAGTTTTTATTTGTTTTTGGAC